ATCAGGAAACTGTTTACTGAGCTCGTTAATCAACTTCTCTATAAGACTCAATACTATCAGATTGGAGCTGCCCCCTGCTGGCTGTTAGAGAGAATGCACTGATTATAAACTGTTAATGGAAGATACCCACTTGAACTCCACTGTAATAAAATAAATCCCTATCAGAGACCTGAGGGACTATTTAACAACATTCTGTTACTTTATACTCCAATAAACACCTCCTCCTCCTCCATCATTTCTTACTCCTCCTCCTTCTCCTCCTCTTTCTTCTGTAAACTTCCTTCTGTCTCTCTGCATCATCATTGTCTTCTCTTTTTCTTCTTATCATTTTCTGTCCCATCAGCACTTCCTCTCTGCTCTCTTTCTCTCTCTGCACCACACTGCCCTGTATGAATGAAAAGACAGGCAGGTTGCCGTGGCAACAAGCCCTCCTTCTCCTTCTCCTTATTCTCTAAAGCCAGGCACCATGCTGCATGAGCCTCAGGTAAAGACATCATGCCAGCACTGTGTAACATTACATTACTGTCCTGTTTTAACTGTTCAGTTCATCAGACTCTGTGGAATCCTCAAAACGTGTCCTAAAGGGTTTTTCTGTCCACATTCTCAAATAAAGTTAATCTGTTCAACAAGCAGATTTAACAGAGAGTATTTTCCTTGAACATTTCCTCAAAAGAGATCCATCTCTGCATAATATCAGCTCAGTGAGAGACAGAAACCACCCTCTCCTGGCGGTCCAATCAACGTGCAGTTTTTTTGCACTGCGGCTCAGAACTTTATACATCCGCGTATAAGAAGACCAGAAAACCCTCCATAAACTGCAGCAGCACATGACATGCTGAAACGTCCCTGCGGTCTGTTCATGTTGGACTCACATATCTGAACACAAATGGATTATGGTAGTGCTCTGCAGCATCATTGAAGTCTGAGGAACGAAATAAATGTCTCACAGAGGGAATGACATTATCAACTCACTGCTCTGCAGAGAAGCTTCACGTTACTCATGTTTCCTCCAATTTATTACACTTGATGGATGGATGGATAAACATGAGACACTGGAGGAGGATGTACTGATTCTTTACTCAAGTAAAAGTGAAAAACTATCAACTCTGAAATGTACTCAAAGTACAAAAGTAGAAAGTACTCGGTTTCTCTGAAGGACTTTTTTTTTAAATGTATTGTTTTTTTCCTTTATTTGATAGGACAGCTTGAGAGACTGACAGGATAGAGGGGGCAGAGAGAGGGGACGACACACAGTGAAGGGCCACAGGACAAACCCGTGGCCGTTACAGCAAGGACCCAGCCTGCGTACGTGGGCTCTACCAGGGCACTCTGTGTGAAGGACGTCTGTATTACAGCTGACACACAGTACATTTTTAACAGATACGCCAATGTATGCTAATCCCAGGCAGTTTTTATGTAGTAGTATAAATGTGTGTATGTAATTTTTTCTGCATACTGGGGTCCATAAAGAGTATTGGAGTTACATATACTCTTTCAATGAGCCCAACTGTATTCATGTCTGATGACGTTCGTCCCCATAGTAACCCCTTTTACTGTAGCGAGAGCACTGTTTGTATAAAATGAGCTATTCTGACCTGTAGGATAATCCTAGCCTCATGAAAGTGTACAACCATAAACTAGAGACTGAGGATGGATGGATTTATTGGTACACTGATGCCACTGAGTGCTAACATACTTTAGTTAGTACACAAACTGTAGGCTAGGCTGAGATTGAAAGGAAGCTGACATGAAAAGGTTCACTATTGTATGAAATCATCCAAAGCTGATTGGATGATCCCTGTTAGAAACTACTACTGGATTTATGTAAATTCATAAAACAGCTGCTCACTGTAGTTTTTATCTAACAAACAGGAGGAAATGATGCATTTATTGGAGACAATTTCCACAGGCGGATGAATCCACATATGGTGCTGTAGTGAGTAAATAAACGACATGAAGGACGATGAAGGTGATGTGTTACTGATGCAGCTCTACAGAGAAAGAAGATATATGAGGCTGTGATACACACAGTACTTTGTTAGTAGATACATTGGCGGCTGGGTTCAGGCTCAACATGAGATTTGTTGATAATAACTTTATCGTGCACTGACCTGTCTGATACCGAGTCTGTAGGCCAGGATCCGGTCCACAGCGTTGGGCTCCATCTGTGTCCACTGCAGCTTGAAGCCGTAGACTCGAGGTTGGTTCTCCCACAGAGCGCTGTAGGTGTCGTAGTAAAACTCTGGAGCGTAGGCCTTCCCTGAGGAGACACAGGGGTCAGAGGTCACACAGAGGTCAGTTCCCTTTTCTGTTTCATGACAACAAAACATGAAATGTGTTTCAGTCAGGTTTGAACCGGGGGTGATCACATCTGCGAGGGGAGAAACCGGTAGACGGGACTTCAGACCTCACTCACTCCACTAATATATCTAAATTCCTGTAACCCATCTCAGAGTTGTTGGTTATTAATGATAAAGGTCATCATATTAATACATTATATATATGGACTAAACTGAGCTAAATATTATGGCTTACAAATTCTGTGCAACTTGACAGGTTATTCTGCTTTTTATATTATTATTAACAAGAGAAGAAGAGTCAACGACGACTCCCAAGGTGCATTTGACCAGTAAAAAACTAACAGTGAGCTAAAGCTAAAGACTGAACTGGGGAGAAACCGGATCAAATTATGAGCCGTTTTAATCTGTCCACTATAGGGCATCAATAATTTGAACTGGTACCAGTTTGTGACTGGTCAGTACTGAAATATCTATAAACTCTGGGACAAATGATTTTATGTAACATTACATAAACAGCTAAAAACATTCAAAAGGGTGCGCTGAATCTACTGAGAATGCAGCTACATGCAAGTCCTAATAAAATAACTAATTCAATTCAATTCAATGACTGTGATTAGGCAATTGTGATAATAGACCAGGAGTTGGCACGTAACTCCAGCCTAGAAGAATAACCAACATGGCAGTGGATTAGTTTTTCTGCACAACATCTGTGCTGTGGACAGGATATGTCGCTGATGTTTTTTTGTAGAGTCATTTACCGTAAATGGGAAAGAAGGCAGTCCTATTGAACGAGATCCTGGCTTATCTATGCAGGGAGTTAAATGTGAACAAATCCTGGATCCCAAAAAATAACTCCAAGGGATTCTCCGAACAGGGTGAGTGGCTAAGAGCCAAACGTGGTGAATGGCCATCCCCGTACGAAGTAACTATGATCTTTTAGAACCAGGGTGAGTTCCTTTTTTCTGAGGTTTAAATCATCCCAGGAAAATTGGCCAGCCTCATCCCAGGATTTTAGATGTCCCTTAAGACAGTGTGCTTGTAATTTAGCATAATCTGATTCGATTTGTCATCGGCTTGATGATTAGAGTATGAACTTGCGTATCCATCCTGCATAACAGTGTGGAAGATTAATGGGAGTGCATCTTCCCTAACTCAATAGTGTGTGCCCTAACAGGGGAGCATATATACAAGTAACCATAAGAAATGGTCAACACCCGTCAGGCGACATCTCCCTTGACTTGGAACTACAGGCTATTCCCACTTGACCCGCAGCACTTGCATCAGTTAACAGTGTAGCAAACTGGGAGGGAAGGCGATCTGGCATAAATAAGTGACGTGGTAAAGCCAGCTTAGTGTGGTTCCTTTAATGGGGCGCAAGTTGGGGACTGCTCAACGTCTCTGTAAAAGAGATATTGATTGCGGTCCAATCGTGGTTGTCAAATGGCCAAGCATCTAAGATCTACATAATACAAGTCATTGTCAGGGGAGGCAAT